TTAATACCCTAAGTGGTACTATTCAACACAGGTGAGGTGTAGGAGGAGTAAATGAACTTGATTTGACAAAAGTTATTCTGGATACGATTGTCATTGTATTTGTTCTGATAGCAATATCTGCTAAATTATATTTGTTTTTCTAATAATCTACTTTCTTTTATTTATTATTTACTATTAAAAGTTTCTATAATTGATAAAGTGACTATTCAAGGTTTCTATAATTAATAAAGTGACTATTCAAGGTTTCAGCATAAGTAGTAAATCAACTGTCCGTGGATACGATTATCATGGTAAATAAAAATTTTCTTTTTATTCTTCTTTATTTATTATTTGTCATTGTATTTGTTCTGATAGCAATATCTGCTAATTATATTTGTTTTTTCTAATAACTAACTTTCTTTTATTTGTTTAAAGGTTTCTGTAATTAATATACAAAAGTTTTTTAGGTGTTTAACAACATAGATGAACCAACTGATACCGATTACCATGGAACAAACATGGTAAATAAAAGCTTTCTTTTTTTATTCTTATTACCTGGCTGGGGAACTATTTCTTTGAATCTCAATGTCAAATCTCAAATGACTCCGTGACTTAAAAATAAACATAATACTGTTTGGGATTTTACCATATCAGTATGATAAAAAATTGTTGATCATGTACATATATTTTTTAATAAAAAAAACAGTTTTATTTTATTATATTTATTTTTATATATATTATTTGTTGAATATTTGTTTGAAAATATGATTTGAATTTAATTTCATTATTGTTATATTTGATGAGTGCAATGCATTCTAAACATGTGTAAGAATTTTATAAAACCAGGCTCCTTGTATATGTTGTATTTTAATCTCAATAAAACTTGTTACAGTATGATATGTTTGTTTAAAACCATGATCTAAATAATTCTTTTGACCATAAATAAGATGTCCTTTGGGTAAAGGTTTATAATAATAATCCTAATAAAACGAATAAAACGAATAAAACGAGAATAAAAATGAATAAAAGCACGAATAACAGCAAATGAATAGAAACCATTAAAATCAATAAACAAACAAATAGCTTTTATTGCGAAATAAATAATTTTGTTTCTTTGGTGTTAATGATTGAATCGATCACACAAGTAGTAGTATTCAATTTAAACGGATTAAATGTATAAAATTTTAATTATTTTTAATGTTACAAAATTTTTTTTTGATACAACAATCTCAGTCCAAAATCAATCATATTTATATACTTTAGAGTTTCTTTATTTCTTTTTTTTGATAAATAATAAATTTATCCTTTGTTTATTTGTTTTAGGTTTTTATTAGATCAAAAATGGTACACTACAGCAAAATTTCGGAGAACCAAAGTGTATCAATTACGCGAAAACACACATAATAAGTATACAAAAAAAATATTTGGCTTGTAGCCTAGGTCCCGTAGAATATGAATGCAAAATTTCGTGTCTCCCGATTTTCTATGTCATTATTATTATTAAAATTCAATTATTTCGAAAAAGAAATTTTGCACGCATAATAATAATTTATAGGGCCCTAATACTAGGCCACGGATCACATAGTCAAACCCCGTTATTCCGTTCAAAATTAGTATTATTGTTGAATTTTTGAAATTTTTAACAGAGTTGTTGGATTCTTCCATTTTTTGTGCTGATAATTGTTTCATACTTCCTGCATACCATGCGATCCAGTTTGCAACTGTTGACATTTTTAGGAATATCCCCAGCTTGAGTTTCGCCTTCATCAGCTAAAATTTGAAGTTCGCTTACCATTTCCTTTGCTGTCATTTGATCACTTTTGTTTACATTACCTGATAAAGGCTATATACTTCAAGATAGGATTTTATATTTTTACTCACATCTCCTCCTTTTATTCCATATTTTTGTTTGGATTTCAACGTCCATCTTTCTTACAATTCAAATTCAGCAACTATATTAAACCATAGAAACAACCATTATATTATAATTTAATGAAAAGGTATACCTGTATCTAATGAATGTGTAATATTTTTTGATATGACATCCTTGATTAATCTACAAATATAAATAAAATAAACATAAATGTAAATAAACATGTAAATATAATAAGGCACAATTCATATTTTGTTTTACCTTGAACATGAGACAATGAAATATTCCATTGTTTTTCATGGACTGGATGAAAAGAAATTAACTGTTTTCACTTTATGATTTTGGTACTTTGGGCAACATACTGCTGTTTTCTATCTTCCTTCTCTCATTTAAATTGTGGCCAATACTCTTGAATCTAATGAAAGGCATGCTTTCTAATTAATAGAATATATATATCTTTGTAATAACATAACTTTCAGAAAACTTCCCTTGTACATGATGAGAGTCAACGCTTGATTTTGTTCCCAGGTTCAAAAAAGTATCCAACTGCAAACTTCGATATTTTACCATTGATAACAGTAGGAAATTATAGTCATTGATTTTGAGTTGTGGTAATGGGCATCATTGTCTGAAAATACTTCAATCCATTGTGATAAACCCAAGTTAGCTGAACCTTTTGTACTGACTGATAAATGTTTTATCATCAATTTTTGTGTTGCAGCAAATCAATTCCTTTTTTATATATCGATTCTAAATAGAATTAACTTTTGTTAAAAATAAATTTTGTAATCAACAAATTATATAAAGATGGTTGGTGCTGATTTCTTTTTTTATGGTTTTAAATTAAGAAAAACATTAACAATGAAAGAATGCATTATTAGGATTTATTATTTGGACGTAAAAAGACACCAGCAGAAATGCTACGTGAACATCAACGTGCACTTCAAAGGGCACAGCGTGAAATGGATCGTGAAAGAGTCAAACTAGAAGCCTCAGAAAAAAAATTAATTGCAGATATTAAAAAAGCAGCAAAAGAAAATCAAATGGTAGAACAAATATTTTTTTTTTTCATTATAAATAAACGTTAAAAAATATGTCGTAGATAAAAAAAATTTATTTATGATCGTAGAGTGCATGTAAGATCATGGCAAAAGATCTTGTTAGAACTAGACGTTATGCTCAAAAGTTTCAAGGAATGAAAGCACAACTTCAAGCAGTTTCATTAAGAATTCAGGTTTATATATTTAGTTATTTATCTATTTATTCAATCATATCCAATAAAATAATAAATATTTATTTTTTACATAGACTTTAAGATCTAATCAACAAATGACTGAAGCTATGAGAGGTGCTACAAAGGTAACTTTACAAACACATATATGCATGCATTATCATTCTTACTGTTTGATAGCTTTACATTATATATATATACATATACATACATATATATATATATATATTTATTTAGGCAATGAAGTCTATGAATAGGCAAATGAATCTACCAGCTATGCAAAAGATTATGATGGAATTTGAAAAAGAATCAGAAATGATGGATATGAAGGAAGAAGTGATGAATGATGTAATTGATGATACAATGGCAGAGGAAGATGATGAAGAGGAAACTGAAATGATAGTAAATCAAGTTTTGGATGAAATTGGTATTACATTGGATCAATCTGTAAATATATTGTTTTTTTTTTTTTTTTGCTAATCAATTCAAAAGTTAATGTTAATTATTATGATTGATGTTAAAATTAACATATGTTTTTATTATAAGCTTGTTGATGCACCAACTACAATTGAAAAAGCCAAAACAAATGAAAGAGTACCACAAGCAGCAGAAATGGAATCAAGTGATGATGCTGCATTACAAGCAAGACTTGATCAGTTACGAAGAGAATAGAAAATTGTAGACTAATCATTAAAAACTTTGTGTAAAATAATGTTAATTTATATTTATCCTTTATTGTGTTTAATTAATATTAATATTATTACTATTATTATTATACCAATGTAAAAACATAGAGATACACTTTCACATTCTTTTCTTTATATAAAGCTTTGACAAGGATGAGAAGGTTCAAGCAAATCATTTTAACAAAGATTAAACATATACTAATAATATCAATCTTAGAAAGAAAGAAAAATGGGGGTTTTTTTTTTATATAATGTGTCTCATATTTTAATTTATTTGTAATATTTTCATTTTTAATTAATTGTTTTATTGACCAGATCAACGTATAAATTCTTTTTATTAATTTTCAAAATATAAAAATATTCATTCTCATTTAAGAATGTGAGTAATTGAGTTAAAGATATTTTTTTTTTGTTTTCAGAAATAGCAAAGCCAGAGAACTATTAGAATAAAAGTCCTTGATTTTTTTGATTAGAAAAAAAAGAGAAGAGAATTAGTTAATAACAATTTTATACTTACTTAGCTAGCATTCAAGTGTCTTTATGAAAGAATCTTCATTGGATTATTGGAACGTTCATCTAGCCATTTTCAGTTTAGATTGTGCTCTAGTAAACTGAACTCTCCAATCAAAACATAAGTACAATAAGCTCTTGCTACGAGATCTTTACCTGTAAAATTTAAAGTCGGACAAATCTTTTACAAAAAGATTCTCCATATATATAGGCATTTGTAAACTCGTTGTTCATTTTTGAAAAAAAAAAAAAAATTGCCTAATCAACAATATAAATATTTCAAAAGTTGTTGAGAGATCCTTTGCCAAATATTTCAAAAAATAAGTTATTTTACTCCAAAATTTACTCGTCATACTCAAAATCAATCAAATCAACCTTTTATCATCATGTTCGTTGAGCAAAAGTTTTTTGTACTAAATAAAAAATAAATAAAATAAATTTATTAAATAGCTAAAAATTACAGGTTATTATAAACATATTGCTAAATTCTCGGAGATTGATTGTGTAAAGCACAAATTTCTTTATCGGCGACTCGTAAAGTGATTTATGTCATTGGATGATGGAATCGGTAGTATATTTTGATTATCATCGTAATTATACTCATTATTATTATTATTATTATTGTTGTTGTTGTTGTTGTTGTTGTTGTTATTGTTGTTATTGTTATTATTGTCATTATTTCCCTTATACACGTATTTCATATATAACCATCCAATAACTCCTAAAGCAAATAATCCACCACCAATAGTTCCAACTATAAGTCCGATAATATTATCATTGTGACTAGTAACAGAGGTATCATCAGGAGCATAACCAGGAGGAGGAGAAAGAGGAGAAGGAGCAGCAGCAGCAGAAGTATAAGCAGGAAAAGTGTTAGAAGGAGAAGTTTTAGTAGAAGGTACAGTTCCGCTACTGACATCAAGTTCACACTGAACATAACTTATACAACTCTCATTAATTCCATCATCAAACAAAAAAAATGTCCCAGACTTTGTGAGTTGTAATGTAGCTCTTGAATCGTTATCTGGTATGTCTACAACGTCTAATTTAAAAAAATTTAAATATTGTTAAAAAATAATCACGAGAAAATACATTGAAATAATTGTACGTACATGCATCAGGTCTGTTAGATCTTACACAAGACCCTTTCTCATTGGCTTCAACAATTCGAGAACTTCCGAAGGATGTAGTTTTTTCAAATATTATCTAATAAAAATATTTTAGAAATATTTTGTATTTTTATTATTAAAAATGAATGATAAAATAAATCCTACATTATCTCCAACTCTTGCATCAACTAAATTGGGATAAAAATATCCTCCAATTCCAAAATTTGAAGGAGTAAAAAGAATGCTAATGTTTAAAGCATCACTATAATTAAATATAAAAAGACAGACAGCAAAACAACAAACAATCTTATTTTTTATTAACATATTTAATTATTAATATGTGTAATGTATTTTAATTTTTATAAGAATTTTTTTCTAGAATCATTTAATTAGTGTAAGTTTTTATAGTTTTTGCTTTAGTTGAAACGAGATTTGAAACGCCGTGAATAAAAAAATGAATTAAACAAATTATTATTATGCATTCTTTTTTCCGGCATTGTTTTTTAAATGATGATCTACCACATATTCTCCTCTATCAATTTCTCAAAAAAAACTTGGTTAGTTGTACTTTAGATTTTGTATCAATCGTGTTTACGATGTTTGGAATGTTTGAGTGACATAAGATATTAATAAAAAGCAATTTTATTTTAAACGAAACTTATGTATACATATTAAATGGTTAAACAACGCGATTTTATTTTGTGTATAGTGCGGGTCACATTAACTATCGTTGTTTTCTGTAATTGCTTTGGAGAAAAAATGATTATTATTATTATTATTATTACGGCAATAATTACGGATTCTCAATATTCTTTATATGAACATAAAAATAACTATATTTTGTTGTGCGTGAATTTGGAGTCTGCGTCGATTTGAAATTCACGCGCGTGAAATTCAAATAATCACAATGATAATTTTGGCAACTATTAAAATTAATTATGGCAACTATGAAAAATTAATTATGATCACATATAATTTATTAAAGATCAATTATGGCGAAAACCATAACACTAACCTATTGAATAAAATTGTCCAACTTTTAAAAAAATTAGAGATGATTCTGATAACTATTATTGTCTAGTTCTACATACAATCTGTCGTTGAGGTAATTTAAGAAAATTATTAATTCTATATTACGTCATTTATAATCTACCGATGGCCAGAAATTTTCAATCCAATATAGGTAATTTATTTTTGTATTGCGCGAAGCGTGGGTGATTGTATGTCTCGGTAAAACGGACATTTTTTTGTAAAAATCCGTGTATATAGCATATTTTTTCTTTTTTTGTCCAAAATGGTAAAATTTAATATGGTTAGCACCACCTATTGCTGCGCTATGTAGCCCAAAATAGCAATTTGTAGGGACCATGTCCTAAAAAAGTCTTCATGTAACAGATAATATATTTTTTAAACGCGGAAAAGATATTTAATACACACAATATATAATAAAACACTTTTGTATAGAACTCTGAGGTTTTGATTTACTTTGGTATAAAGCAAAGGTTTGGTTTTTGGTTTTTGCCATGTGTAAACATTTTTTTGTAAATGTAATATATAGTAAGATGTTAAGACTGATTGACAAAAATATTAAATTTTAACAGTTAATACTGATCGATCTACAAAGAGCCAAGAGTTATTATCACATATTGTATTGTGTTAAAGTAAATGTACTCATTCAACAGGGACACTAGTTGCTACAATAAGTTCGTTATATAAGAAATTCAAAAATTAGAATACCAGGAACTGTCATGTAGTCTCTAGCCTAAAGTTTCGAATGGTTTGGTTTTGGTTCGGCTCAAAGAGTAAATAAAATTTTCAGCTTAATCAAACTGTTCAGAGCTTTTGTTTAAGATAATACCAAATTGAAAAGCATATCCAAACAGCCGAAGAAATTACATTATTTCAATAACATTTTTTTAAAAAATTTCATTTTTCAATCCTTTCTATTTGGTATGAAAATTTTTAAATGAATTTTTCTAAAAATTGATCCTACATAAGTCACGTGGAAAGGACAGAGGACAGTTATAAGTGACTGGTTTCCTGTCCTCTGTCCTTTTCAATATTTACCCACTAAATTTGCAAAAGGACAGTTGACCTACATAGGCAGAAGTGGCTAATTTTGCTGATCAAATTCAATTGAGTTCGCATATTATTTATATAGTTTAAAGTACTTTTTAGAATTTTTAAGAATGCAACGTTTTCACTAATAAAAAAATAAAAAGTCATTGCAAAAGCCTTTAAAATAATACCAACATTCACTGTGCAAAAGAAGAAAAAAAAAATCTTACATACTCCCGACATGCTTTACTTAGAAGACAAAAGTTCCATTTACTAAAACTAGTAGTATTACAAGGCTCATGTATGATCACTATATGAAAGAGACAGTCCTCCAGCTGGAGAAAGGTAACTGAACATGTTATTTCCAAAGATCAAACTAACAAAACTTTCCAAATTATCTTCAACTAGGCAATACAATTTGTTTAAATGTTATAACAGAATTGTAACAAGAAGTGCGATTTTCAGCAACATGCATTAGAACAGTCCCATCATAATGAGCCAGAAATTCATACAGAAACTTCTAGTAAAGATAATAACAATTTAACTTTTTCACAAGCAGTAGGGATAGTCATAGATATTCTTGGAAAAACTTTGCAGTTTACCAGTATTCTTCTCGGAATATTGAAACTTTGACATGAAAACTGCATGCTTTCTTCCAGATTGTTTTACTGATTACATATCAAAAGAAAATCATTTACTAAATTTGGACATGCAATTCAAAATATTGTTCTCAAATTTAAAAAATCCATGAAAAAAATCAAGACAATTTTTTTTTTTACATGAATTGACTGACTCCCTTTTTAAAGCTGAATTGAATGGTGGTGGTTTTTTAAAATCCAACATGTGGATCATATAATAATTCAAATTTTTTAACTTTTGAGTATAGATGATCTGCACTGTAGCTATCTATTGGGAGAAATGGTATAATTTAGATGTAAAAAAAAGGCAATTTTTAGAGACTGATAAAGTAAAAACTATTGTAGATTCCATCATGTGCATGGTTTATAGATATACAAAATTGGATAATGGCATTTCTAGTGGAGAAGATATCATAAATGCTAATAAATCTCTTGCTGGTAATTCATTTGCCAAAATAATTCCAGATTTTAGTAAAAAATACCAGTTAGTACCATTAAAGGAATTTCTAATTATTTTACTTTCATGTGGTCATCTGGTGACAAAAGTGGGTATATTAGCTTATGAAATATCTAATTATGAGAAATCAAAAAAAGATTCAATCTTTGATATTAAAAATCTTCTTAAAATAATAATATTAATCAACCAAACATTACAACACCTCAATCAGAATTAAAATGTTTGTTCCTTCAGAGTTGACCCATCAATTCAAAAATTTTCTTTTCCTGAAGTAAGATTGCAGATTCAAAGAAAAAATTTAGATTTCACTGTAAGTAAATTAGAAATTAAAAAAAGATTATATCAATTGGGGCATGCTGCAATAAAACCCAACAAAGTGAACTACCCAATGATTTCAGGGTTCAAATTAATTTGGCAAAAGAAATTAAAAAAAATAGAGTTTATGTTCATTTAACATTCTTCAAGAATAAGAACAAAAAAATTATAAATAGGTTAATAATAAAATTCAAATAATCAAAACTCTCATTGATATTTATTAATTAAAAAATAAAACTTCAAACTATTACGTGACATAACAATTGCTTGTTATAATAAAAATATCTAATTTAAATTTAGTGAATTCAAACAAAATTTTCAAGGATAGTTGCATTTTGATAATTATTACAACAGTAATAGTAATAAAAAGAATAACCAAATACAGGTGTGGGTTAATATCTTATCATTAGCAATTTAATAATACATTTTTATTTTTAAAAGGTAAATAAGCTAAAAGAAAAAACTTTGATCTAATAATTATTTTATGTGAAACAATAAATGATCCACAAATCAGGGTTGGCAAATGTGCGGTCCATTGATGGTCTATTGGTGGTCCATTGGGTCCATTAATGTAACATTTTAACCATATTTGGTATTTTATTAATGGACCAGTCCAAAATCCATCTGTTCTCAATGGACCAGTCAATTTGCCAACCCTGCCACAAATACTATTATTATTAACAAATTGTTTTTTATCTTTTCATAGGTGATTTGCAAATAAAATCACCTTCTTGTTCTTTATTTAAAGCTTGTCCAATATTATAAAAGTTTTGATCCATCAACACCTAAAGTTAAAAAAAATATTTAAATTTGTAGAGATTAGATTCCATAACACAAAAAAAATTTTTTGGTTTCATTTATACTTACACATAATCTAATAAAACTCTTCATTGCATCATTTAAAGAAGAAAAGTCGAATTTTGTTTTAGGTAATTCAAACGTTGATATCTTGCATAGAATATATAATTGTGGATATGGTAAAAATAATTCATAAAGTTCAAATTGTAATTCTACAAATTTTATGAATCCTTGTTTAGCAAAATGTTATGTAATATTAATATTTATTATAAAATAAAAAAATTTGTCTCACTTGAAATAATGATTCCATGTATTTTTATATCTGGAAGTTTATTTTTATTACAAGATGGTACTGCCAAAAAGATTTTACAAATCATGTCATGCATCATTGTTACCAATTTCACTTTGTCATTGATGTATTTTGTCACATTGCCTAATGTTAAATCTTTTGCTACTTCAACTATTAATTAAAGACTAGTGCCATAAATTATGATGATGTATTTATGGCATATAAAAAATGGTCACAATTACCCTTGTGACCACTTTTGCAATCATACTTTTTCCTTTTTTGGTTTACAGCACTAGTCTTTACTATTAATACTTCCAAGTTTTTTCTGCTGATCATCACTTTAGTATCAGGTAAGGTTGTGGGTGAAACCTCCTTAGTAATTGCTGAAACCATAGCAAAACTATATTAAATCTTATCAAAAATCCTGTTGAAACTATGCTGAAATGGCAAAACCTCAAAATGAGAAACTCTGCTGAAACTCTAATAAACAATTAATGTGTAACCTGCCAAAACCCTGCTGATTGATTTCTGGAGGAGTTTTGGCAAGCAACCTTAGTATCAGGTTTTAGAGCATGTGCCACATTTTCACCTAGTTTCTTTAATTTGTTGCAACATCCTTTGTTTGCAATCAGGGATCTAAAAAATTATATATAAAATATAAAAATAAATAAATAAATTGCACCATTCATGCATGGATGAAATTAGGTAAAATCATTATATATAATAAAACTTACTTTTGTTTTTTAACAGAATATTTGTTTCTGTCATAAAATAAATGTGAAAATATCAGCTATTAAGTCACATATAGTCTGTGGCTCAGGCATTGGTATATCAAAATAATCAGAACTTAAATATATATATATATATATATATAAAGTGAATATAATTGTATAAAAAATAATATCAAATATATACTTTTAGAAATACATACATTTCTTCAAATAATTTTCTTATAAAGGTTTTTAAGGAAGGAATTAATTCATATGTGAATAATTCCTCTTTTTCAAAGGCTTTTTAAGAGCGATCTCTGCTGAATCAAAATCATTTGCAGCACCAATAAGTTCATCAATCAATTTATTGATTGAATTGTGGGGAATTTCAATAGTATCCAACTCAAAATGATGATTATTATTATAAAACTGTTGATAACTTTTAATTTGGTGCCTCCTCTTGCTTAAACTATTATTCCATATTTTATCAAACCACTAAAAATATAATATCATCATTATTATTGATAAGTATATATTACAAAAATTTGATAATTAAGAAAATCATGTAAAATATACTTGTTTGCTGCAGCTGATAATCAGAAATAATTGTGTCCACAGGTACACCAACAATTACTTGCTTCATTCTTTAAATTAAATTAAATTCATAGTATTAATATGCATATTGATTATATTAACAAACTTTAAACAAAAATTTTTGATAATTTTACACTGCCAAATAATGATATTCCAAAAACTTCAAAATCTACATCAAAAATTCTAGGAGCAAAATTTATTTCAACCAATGAACTACTTACTTACTTTTCCCTTCTAAAAATGCAATAATACAATGTAACTAGAATGATGACAAGTGGTGATAACCACCATTCTTTTTAATAAACTAGAGTGATGGCAAGTGGCGATAACCACCACCATCATTCTTAAAACACTTGCCCACAATCATCTGCTACACCTTTTTCTCAATTTCTTCTTTTTTTGTCGGCAACAGCAGACATTTTGTTTAAAAAGAAAAAAAGAATGTTTTGATTGACAAACGTGTCATATTATTGGCACTTGGTGTTGCACAATTTTTTAGACACAAATTGTTTTTTTTTTCTTTGGAGAAACAATTTATTTTTTGACAGAGTCCAAGGTGACAAAACGCGAATCTCCTAAACATCAGGAAAATGGGTACAAATATTATGCATATATAATATGCAATTGCAGGGATTAAGCATATAATATATGTACAATTTGCATACATAAAAAAATATGTGATTTGTATGCATATTATATGCTTAATCCCTGCAATTGTGTATTATATACACATAATATTTGTACCCATTTTCCTGATGCAAGAAGACATGTTGATAACAGAGGTACTATTTTTTACTTGTATTGATATATATTTATTGACTTTTTTGGTTATTATAAATATATTAATTGGAATCAAAATGTGGAGCAGATCATTGCTGGGTAATTATAAGAATCTTATCAAGATTGTGTATTTTGCTTTTCGTAATCAATATTAATAATATTATAATTACAAGATGTCAAGGCAACACACCATTGAAACAATTAAAATATGCAATGTTTGAATATTGGAAATTTTATAGATGTTGAAGCACACATGCTACCTGAACACTTTACAATCATTCACACACATTCCTCATGTACAAAGGCTAATCTGACTTGCACCCCCCGATGATACAATGATGCAACCGAATTCTAGGGGGAGGTAACATGGCCCAATTGTCAATGACACTTTCACTAATCTTCCCTCACAGCACCAGGCCAAAGAAGGCTGCCATGCTAGCCAAAAAGTCACCTGCAACGATCCTACTCTTGGTAAGGATGGCTCTGTGACCAGGTCACAACTCTGGAAGAATATTAAAAGAATCTGCAACTCATTTCAAGCACCAGAAGGTCACAATTCAGAGCAGGGTTGGTGGCCCTGAAATTGCATTTGGACTCTGATGTTAAGAGAAAAGTTGTAAAATAGTGTATAATCATTAAGGCTCCGAACGAATCGAATCGAATCGAATTTGAGAGTGATTCGATTCGATTCGATTCGTTCAGTAGTCAATTTGATTCGATTCGAATTCAAAAAAACAGGATTCGATTCGGTTTGATTCGATTCGTGACTCGATTTGAATTGATTCGAATCAAACCGGATTCCTAAAAATTTTTTAACGTCATATTAATATTAAATTTATATTTTTAATTTGATAATTTAAATTTATATTACACAGTGAATCGCAAT